CGGGCCCGGGGGGGCGGGGGGAGACGTCTTATCCCCTCCGTGAGGCAGCGACGCCCCCCCCTCGCCGCGGCCGCTCCTCGCCGGTAGCGGGCGGGGAGGGCTGACAGGGACGGGACGGCGCGGGGTTACCGGCGGCTGGAGCCGGGCGGGTCCCTCAGGGTGTCCGTGTCCCGTCCCGTCCCTCCGCCGCGGCCCGGCCTCTCGCCGTGCGCTGCCCCCGCGGCCGCCCGCCCCGCCGGCGATGGGTGGCCTGCCGGCGGGTCCCACCGGCGCCTTTAGCGCCGTGTTTGTTCGCGGGGGGCTGGGGGGGAAAGGCCGCCGTCGGCACGGCTGACATTTGCCATGCGCGAACAACATGCACTTCAGCAAACAACTCAACCTTTCCGCATCCCGGCAGCCTGCCGGACTTGCTGGCTTATTTTTCTCCTCTTTCTTCGCTTGTTTATAACTGACGCTATCTCGCCTGCACCGCTCCCTCAATTTCATTATCTCTTCCTCCCCAGGCGGCCCGTATCTCTCCTTCCTTCGGCAGAGTTTCTCTCTGCGCTTGCTTCAGCTCCTTCCCCTCCTCTTCCCAGCTCCCCATCCCTCACCCTTGCTCACAGGTGATGTTCCCAAATGCTCGGTCCCACCAGCTTCTCCCCATCCCGCTCCCTCCCTGCCCCCCAGCCCCTGCTCTGCTGCTTGTCCGCTTGCTTTCGGCAGCGGCCTGGGCCCTGCTGTGCCTCCTGCTTCCCTAAATCCCATTTACTGTTTTCCAGGTGAGCCTTTCCCAGCTGGCTGCCTGCAAAGCACTCGACTCCAGCGGACCTTCCTTCAGCGGCGCTTCTTACCCAGCAGTGAGCCCCTTATCCTCTGAAGACGGGGCCATTCAGTAAAATTTACCCTTTTTTTTTTTTTTTTTAAATAGTAATAGCAAATATGTGGCCACACGGTTACTGGAACTGAAACCTGTATTTTTTTCCATTTCCTTTGTAAAGATATTACTTATTGTGCAGTAACCATGCTGTAAAATGTGGTTGTTTTATTATTATTTTGAAGAAATTTGTATTTCCTCACGTACTCAAATACCAAAATAATCTATAATAAAAAAGACCAATCAATAGTGATAATTGTTTTGGTTTTGCTATGACATAGCCATCTCTCGAATTCCAACTAATGTCTTGGCTGATCAATATTTTACAGCGAGTGCTGCTTACCAGGCTACTCTTACATAAACATTGTTAGGAAGAAAGAAATCCCTTAGCTGACAGAGCAGAATGGAAGGATGGCCTCCTGGGCTTGGCTATTAATTGATAAATTTACTAGGACTTCTTTGCAACCTTTTTATTGATTCACCTAAATGTACTTTAAGTTACCTTTTTACTTCATAAAGGATGATGAATCTATTTAATCTGCAGGATTAAATAAATACGACAACTTCCAAGGTTTCAAAGATATTGTAGAAGTTTGGTGGAAAAAAGGAAAAAAGTTTTTTACCTCAATGGCAAAGAATTTAAGGTAAAACACCTGTGTTTTTAACTTTGTTATGTAAACCTGTAAGATTTATGTTGTTGTAGAGACTGGGTGATTTGAACTTTGAGATGTAAGAGGTACTGAAATTCCAGCCTAAATTTTTTTAGCCTTGCATTGTGATAGTATTGGCTTATTGTTATTGCTTTTGATATCCTTACTCAACTGCCAGTCTGGGTCAGCCACATTTCCTTAACACCCCTCTGAAAAGGGTAGAAACTAAAAAGAGCTAAAATATGGAGGGGGAAACAAGAAATAATTTAAGCCCTCATAATTTCTAAGTAAATCAGGATGTCATTGAAAAGAACACCAGGGTACATTTTTCTCCAGTTGAAGATGCGAGCTTTCCCTCTGGTATCAACAAAGCCATGCTTTCATTCGGTTCCTTTTGCCCAGGGTGATTAAGAGTGCATAGGTGGTAAATAATTAAAATGTTGTTTGGCTAGAGCATAGTAAAAGTTGAGGCCCTTCAAACTGATATTTACTACTGAAACTTGCTTGGGTAGACTTTAATTAAATTTTCATCTAAAATGAAGATAGATACGGGATCATACCTTCATGCAAAATAAAACTGTTAGGCTGCGGTTTGTGTGCGTACAGCAGTAAGTGAGTGCGCAGAAGGAGGTGGTTCAGGTGCATGTATGCTGCACAGAGAGGGTTCACATGCGCGAGTGTGCTCACACAGTCAGAGGAGAGAGGCTGCTTATATGCATTTTTCTCTGCATGCACACGGAAGAGACTGACACTTTGGGCATGGACGTATGTGTGTGCAGGAGACAGAGGGCAAGCAGAAGCAAAGCTCAGACTGAGAAGCAAGAGAAGTGTGTGTTGTTCCCCCTGTGCTCAATAAAGTGGGACTTTGTATGCTCTTAGAATAAACAGAATCACATCAAAGATACTGGCCACATCACAAGTTTTAAATGAGTGACCCACATGATCCCAAACTTTGTCTGGCTACTAGTCAGAGCCTGCTTTTGATCTCCGCTAATGAAGCAGTCTCCTCTTTCCCAGCTTTTGTTCACTGGTTCGAAGGACAGTGAAGTGGGACCGAAGAAGGCATCTGACTTGTGAAAATCCTCCTTTGGTAAGCTTCAGATCATGATTTCAAGGTTGTTCAGAATCCTTGCTCCCCCGAGGAAGCTCCCACTAGTTTTGTTACTCGTAGACTCCCATCCTGCTTCTGCTCTTGATCTTTTGGGTGAAACAGTCACCCAACACTCACCAGCCCAGCCATTCCCCAGCTTCCTCTGTCATTATCAAGTTCCGTGGAAACATACACTGTGTGTGCAGTAGGGAGAACAGTTACCTTCTATTCACTTTTGTTAGCTCTGTCCTGGCTGGGAAAGACCTCGTGCTGCCTCCCAAAAGACTGAATTTTTTAAATCGAGTGTTATGTCATGGACAGTATTCTTTCACTTTGCTTTTATAGTGAAGATTTTTCTCTGTTGAATTCAAGAAGCAGATTAAATACATGTAAGCAGTAAACAACAATGATGCTTGTATTTATTTCAAGCCTGAGTAAAATTTGTCTTAGAGGGCAAGAAGTGGTTTGAATTTGTATCTGTTATTTCTTGCCCTGCACTCTGATTTGTTTTTATCCAGGAGGAGTTTAACCCCATGGAATATAATACAGCCAGCGTGTCCTTCCAAGGCAGCATCTGTGTGGGTAATGTTTGTAGCATCCTTTAAGGAAGATGCTTCCTCTTGGTCACTTTCTTAGCAACAATAGTTAGCACATCTTGGTAGAGCTGGGAGCTACCACACAGTATTGACTTTGAGTCCCAGGTTCATTTTAGTGTCTGGTAGTTCTGGGTTGTGCTGTTTTCCTGCAGAGAACTCTGACTGCCCTTCCAAAGTACTCTGTGACTGGTTTCCTTTCTCAGAGACCGAGTTAGAGGAAATATTTTACAGAGCAATAGCTGAGCAAATGCGTATCCTACTTGCCCATTTCTTTTAACTTCATGCTGCTAAATATACATATTTAGTCTATAGAATTGAATTTACTTCCCTTCTCAGAGGCACAGCTTTGTCAGCTCTAATGATTAGCTTTTGTTTGATGTTCATAATATTGTGCTTCACCGCTTATCTGATGGAGCTGTGCGAAACTATTTAGGGGGGGTTCTGAAATGTGACAACCCACATGATGCTTTTTTAGACTTCACAAACCGCCTTCATGAGGCAGAAGAATATGACATGGGAACTGCTGGCTAGAACAACAGCGTATATTAATGCCAATATAATTGGTGTAGACGGGGAGGAGGAGTGCTATTTAGAAGTTTGTGGCTTTTATTGTATACTGTCAAAGGAAAACTTATAGCCTGAAAGAAAAGGCATCATGGATGCCATGGATGAGACTACTGATCCTGTCTGGCTCTGGAACAGCATAAATACTGGAGGAAATGTGTTAAAACCTGTTTTGTGTATCCACAGACAGAAAGGCTCAGGGGAGACAGGCCAGATGCTCCATTCCTACTTTCTTACCTTAATAAATAGCAGGATCTCACTTTCTGGCAAACTTCTGCATCTGCATCCTTGCTGATGTGTGCAGCATTCATTATGAGCTTTGTTTTGAATCCTGATAACCTCTAGATGAAAGAACTTATGTTATGGATTTTTAAAAAAAACCCCAGCTTTTCTGACTTCTGTTCACAAACTAACAGCTAAACATTAGAAAATATTTTGGAAGATTGTTACCCCTCCATGGTTTTTAAAATTGGAAAAGTATCACAATGCTTATTTCACTTTTTCATAAAAGAAGAGCACCAAGATTACCTTTGATATCTTTTCCATATGAAGCCACGGATGCTGGGTAAGTGGTGCATTCTTCTCACTTCCTTGGGGTAGCCAGGTTGGTTTTGTGTTCTGTATTTTCACCCTTCCGAAGTTGCAGCTGAAATTATTCATATTACTGACACGATTTCATATCCCAGATGAGATGCACAGATAAAATAAGCGAGTAAGCAGTAGAAGATCTTTTTATGTGACTGGGACCTCAAGAGGGAGGATAAAACCTGGCCCAGCTGAGTGGGAATCACTGGCTCCCATAGGACTAGGATTTTTCTTGCAGGCTTTATGGTTGTCTCATTCGAGTGGTCTTCTACACTGAAAGCAATGCAGACTATACCACTTACTTGGCAAAATGTGTGCCACCAGGAGGTGGTTTCACTCAAACATACATTTCTGTAAGATGAAGACAAACTTAAAATTTATTGCTTATTCCATTCATAACCAAAAGTTCTCCTGGCTTGCCAAGCTGCTGAATCAGCTCGGGTACCTCACCCTTGAGTCAGCAAAGCCTGAAATAGAAACTTGCTCTGTTTCCGAAGAAAGGAAGTACCGCTGTTGTCTGCAAATACAGCCACATCTAACGTGCTTTCATAACTACGAACACTTGGTGGAGAAACTTGCATGACACTCTGCTTTTTAATTAAAAAAAAAAAAAAAAAAAGTGGGGGTGAAAAAAGGCTGTTAAGCTTGCTATGAATGGGGCTGTCTGGGCATGGAAGAACCAAGGAATAAACAGCACAGCAAGAGAAGGGCTTTACCAGTGGCAGTCACTGATGTCACCTAGACTAGCCCAGCATCAAGTTCCCACTCCATCTACTTGCAGCTTCTCAGGACATTCAAATTAGGGAGACAAGGCTATTAGGCTACAACCAGGCTAAAGCAAAGTCTTAAGCCATTAAGAACTGATGGCAAGAAGACAGGATAGAAGCTATAAAACACTGACTGGAGATCAGCTACAGCGGTGCTCATCCAGGATTCCCAAAGTAGAGTTGAATCACTCTCGCTGCCATGCTGCGACTCCACTTTATAGCCCAGCATAAAATAGCAAAAAACAGTGAAAATGACCAACAGTTGCAGTCAAATAGTGGGAAGTGACACTGTAAAGTCATCAGCAGGACTTTTGTGAGTAGGTGGAAGGCAGTGAAAAGGCATGTAAAAATAGTCCCTATGTGATATAAATTAGGGAGGAGTTTCTGTGGTTCCAAGTCAGGCCAAGAAGGAGAAAAATAATCATAGTGTTAACTTGCCCGTTCTCCCCTTCTCAAGTTGTTCAGTTTTTTATCTTGCAGATGTAGCATCAGTAATTTTTAGCATTGTACAAAAGGACGCCCATTAAAAATAAAGTTTCAGGGGGCTGCCAAGCAGATGCTTGTTGTGTGCCACCTTCCCATGAGTGGTCCTTCATGTGTGGTGCAGGACAGTCTCATGTTCTTCCTGCTCCAAGCAAATGACTGCTGCTGGCGCTTCGATGAGAAGTCTTCTGAACTGGCTTTACCTTCCATAAAGAGCAGGCCATTCTGACGGGCAAAACCAGTAACGCCTTTCAAACCCTGAGCAGATGAGATGTGCAGCTATTACTGGCCTGGGAGGAAAAAAACCCTTTGCCTTAGAGAAAGTCCAGATGTATTTTACATCCTCTGGAAACTTTTCCTCCATCTCCTCTGAAGGAAGGGCTGGATGCCCACATGCTGTTCTTCTGTGCTGCAACGTGACCTGCTCCCCTCTAGCTGTGAAGATCTTGTACATGCTCCTTTACCTGTGTAACATCATACTTACATGATCTTGCAAAATAAGGTTTTGAAGCCAACAGTATAGAGAAACAGAAAATTTTTCTATTCTCACAGCTCAGTTATTTAGACATCCTGTCTTCATAGCACAGTTTCTGTGGGAAGATCCTGATGGATAGGGGAGTTCTCTTTTATGGGAGCAGCAAAAGAACCCTCAGAATGAAATTATTCTAAACTAGTCTAACTATTCAGAGCTAAACTAGCCTAATCTATTCGTATAACCTTGCAGGCAAGTTTCCTCCTAGGGTGACACTTCATACGGGATTTTCCTGCAGTACTATGGAGGAAACGATAGAGTTGGAAAAATTGTCATTTCTGCAATGGGTATGAATGTTGCAACACACAATTTTACCATTTTCTGATTTTTGCAACACTGCAGTTGCAAATTGCAACACATTTTATATTTAGTGTTTTGGATTATTCAACCAAAAAGAGGTGGGGATGAGACTTTACCAGCACAATTACAGGCTTATGCAATCATCTGGTGCACATGCTGCAGGTTTGGAAGAAAGACCTGCTGCAAATCCACAGAAAACCCTAGCTGGGGGACTGTAAGTGCTGCAGGGAATTACACGATGTGAAACTTAGTGAAACATTTGCTATGTGTGCACCAAGCGCTTTTTAAATTTGGGTTTCTGGGGAGAAGAGAATTGCTGTGGCATTTCTGTGACTTGATCCCTTGTCTCTCTTGATCTGCGACAGAAAGGTGACCCCGAGTGCTGCTGAGCTGGGAACGGAGATGGGGACAGCCATCGCCGCCTGAGCTGAGCATTCGCTTGGAGAGTAACAGAGCGTTCCCAACCACATCCCGGAATAGATTCACTTTCTCATCCCCTGGCTCAGGCTGTCACAATGTATTTTAACTACAAATCTGTTATTCTGTGCTGTGGGTGCCAGAATAATTTTAAAAAATAACCCAACTCAGTAATACTGGCTTTTTGGTGATTTTCTTTTTTTTTTTTTCTTTTCCTCAGAAAGGGTAGAAAAGAGCATTCTTCTTGGCTATACCTGGGATTTCACCTGCATGGCTGCAACTCCCATGCTGTCTAGGAATATAGATGACCTCCACTACTCCCAACTGGAGCAGATATATCAGAGCAGTTCAGCAATGATGTGGCAAGTGTGAAGTGGAAGGCATTGAAAAAGTATTATATCGATTTTTAGTTTGTATTTAAGAGGGTTTCTACACACTTGTGTTCTATAAGCCCAGAAAGAGTATGCTTCTGACTGCAAACACAGGAACCAGTCATTATTTCAATTTATTGCTGTGGTCATAGGATTAAGCCTTTGATTAGAGAAGAACAAATTATACAGAGTAATTTGACCCCTGGTATGTTAGTGTGGTGACTGCAATTGGGGTGGCCCAACGCAGTCCACTGATTCTACTGCTAGGTGATATATTTAGCTTTTGTGTTGATTAAAAACTGATTTAATTCTAAACTGGTCGCTGCTGCACTTCACACTTTATAACTTAAAGGTTTTATTTACACTGCACAAAGAAAAGGCTACAGTAAAAGATTATTGCTGGGGCTTCAGAATCAAGTACTTAAAAATTACAAAAGGCAACATTAATTTTAGCATTTTGACATTCTTAAATAATATCCATGGAGTGCTTGATGCTAGCTGAGTATTCAGGACTTTTGCTGGGCTATTGATGGTCCGTGAGTGCAAAATAGCAGCAAACAGCTTCCAAACAATCATGTTTAAAGCTGAGCATGAATGCATGTTTCTGCCACGCACCCAGTTCTGTTTCCAGGGAACAAGATGGGAAGAAAATGTTGCTGAAAACACTAATACATAACACTTTGGCAGAGATGGTTATCACATCTCCTAGTCATTTTTACCTATGTTGCTGCCCTGACAACTGTGGTATATTATGGAAATAAAATGTGAAGTCACTCAGGTCTGAGTTCTGCTCTTTGTGGAGTAGACAAATACATTCGGTACCTTTTGATTGAGGTAAGAGAAAGTGCACGCTTCTGCAGTGAAGGACAAATACCAGCCCCGGGGTACTGAAAACACAGCAAATATTTGTTAAAAAGGTGAGTTAGGGGCAAAACAAAGTGGCATATAGCATGCAATGAAAGGTTGTCGCGGGAGAAATCCAATTCAATCCAGCAATTATTGGCTAGATGCAATCAAGATTTAGGAATGGGGCTCTAATCCTTTTATAAACCAGGAACCTGCTTGAATTGGGTAATGGGAGTTCTGACAGTCACACTCGATAAGCAAAAATCAACTAACCCTCGTGCTTCGTGGCACGCACTAAACTCTTAATGACAGTCAGGAAAAAACATAACCCATCACTGGATTTTTGGTAATTTCCCACCAAAGGTTTCCTCCAGGCTGCAGCTTTCGGAGGCTTTGCATGATTTGTACCTGAGAGAACTGCTCAGATTTTGTGTTTTGATAGATTTAGACAGCCGAGTTATTTACTGAAGGATACCTCTGAAAGGGAATTTGGTGTAGACTGAGTTGGCTGCTGTGCTACTATGTGTGACCCCATCTTGTCACTGTACGCCTGAAACTGTCCCACATATTGTCTGTCAATTTGGTAAATTATTTCCTAGAACACTTAGAAAACAAAACAAGGAGCTGAAAATGCCTCTCAGTATTTCTTCAGTCCAAACAAACAACAAGCAGGTTGTGTGTTCTACGTGTCTAGCCAAAACATCTCAGTTATTAATTTTAAACTCCTGGGTGCCTGGAGAACCCGATCCTGAATAAGCTACAAAGCTGAAGCATGGCTGAAAATATATAAAAAAAAATATTCCACCATCTTCAGCTAATGTTTCTGCAAGGTAGCAAGAACAACCTCCCCTCTCCCCTGTAATGACAGGGCATGCCGCACAGCAGCAGATGTACCATTGCACTGGTGTGTGGCAAACATGCGGTGCTCACCGCCTGTGCTCGCGCTTCCCTCGAGGGCTCAGTGTCTCAAACCCAGACAGCCTGGTCCTCTGCAAGGACTGCCAAAGGACGTTACACGCTCCTGCGAATCCCTGCAGTGGTTTCGGGAGGCAAAGACAAGTGGCCGTAGAGAGAGAAAAGGCTCTGGCCATAAACCGGGAAAGTGGGGGCTGAGAAGCAAATTTGTTGTGCTAAGTAAGTGGCTTTTTCCCATCTGCTCATTTCTCCTCTTTTACTGTTCTCATTTCAGTTCCTTCCTCAGCTTTGGCTCTGTGGAACAGCAGGGGAAATATTCTGTTCCCCTTTCATGGTCGTAATGCATATTTATTAAATCCCATTTTATTATAACCCAAGTAATGCTTGCCATGTTTTATTTTTCATCTGGACCATTTAAGCTCTTAATGAAGGATTTGCCCTTAATCTGGATCTCTTGCTTCCTTTTCTTGTTGTGTTCGGTTCAAACTCAAGGCACATGCCATATTCCTTTAGAGGCAGTTTGTCTTGACTGGAGGTGTGTCGATTTTTAACCAGGTTTTCATCCTGCCCTGTCGTACCTTCACAGCCTGGCTGCTTAGACTGGGAGGCACCGAGTTCATCACTTTGCTACAGCCTCAAACTTCTTCTTACAAGCCAGAAATGCGGGCAGGGCTCTCGGAGAGGTTATCATCTTCCTAACCTCAGCCAGGATGCAAACCAGCCCGCAACCCACCTGCTTCCCCTAAACAAGCAGCGTGCTTCATTAACCACAGAAACTTCAGCAACGCCCAGTCACTGCCTTGATTTTCCCAGTGAAGCAAGGCATGGCAGCAGTGATTTAGCACTGTTCATGGGTGGATGTCTCTGTCTTCGAGAGAACAGAGCTAAAGCCGGGAGCCCACCACTTCTGTGCCGCTCAGCATTCTAGAAGAGGATGAACGTATAGAGTTTTGGGGCTGAGGTCTTATTTAAATTATATATTAGGCTGAAAAATTAACACCCCGTTTATAGTAATAAAGGATGCTCCCAGTGCCTACAGATACTGCTTTACTTAGCAAAAGCAGCCAAATCTACCGACTGTGGTGTTGGAGGACTTTATATATAGCAAATAGTAACTGTCTTTAATTAGCTTTATTTACACAATAGATGTCAATGTTGAACTCTCTAAATTAAAAGGGCAGAATGTCCTTATTGGGAAATGTGATTTTTGAAGCCTAACAACTTAAAAACAGCAGGAGAGTTTTTGCTCAGACTGCCTGGGGAGAAAAATCACCTTTGGCTCAACAAAACAGGAAGAATTTCAAGCCTACAGCAGAAGTTTTTTAAGAAACTAATGAAAATGGAGGATTATAGTTTAAACTGTTTTGCAATCACTGGCCTGAATCCTACAGACACTTTTTACATGCACTTAACTTTATATACGTGGTTAGTTTTGCTGACCTGCATGGGATTATTTACACATGTAGATATAAGTACATGCCTGAATGTTTACAGAGTGGAATTTAAACTGTAGCATTTGTTGCTGAAAAAATGACATTATGTCAAGATCTCCATAATTGGCTCATTGAGATTCTTTATGTTAGGAAAAAAAAAGCTGAGAAATTCAGGAATTAGGGTTCCTGAGGCAGTCTCAGATCTGCTCCCTCATGTGAATAGCATCTTTTGTTGTGCTGGATCGCAGCATTGGGCCACAAAACTTATTTAGCAGCTATTTAAAAAAACCCCCACCTTTATATAGTTTGAATCTACTGCTCATAGGAGAATATTGTCTGCATTTCTTTCTACTCTTTAATGTATATCAAAGCCAAAAAAGTAACTGAGACTGAAAGGTTTCCCCTCATCAATGGGAAGCAAGTAATTGAAAAAAAATGGTTTTTTAATAATTTTTCTAAAATTTATTTTATTTTTTAATTATTTTTTTTTATATTATGGGAGTACATTCTACCTGCCATGAAGTGACTTGTTGAAACCCCCTGAAACAGGAATAAATCACCTCTGCAAACTGTAGTTCTGCCGTTTATCAGCTTGGTTCTGTGCAGAAGCCAAACTGCCATTAAGCTGACTCACATTTTGGCATTTTGTGTTTATATACAAGATGACGATGTTTGCAAGCAATGGGGAAAAAAAAAGTCGTTCATCAGGACTGCGGTCCTGGCAAAAGTCTTTTCCTTCTCTGCCACAGCGGCAGAGCCCGGGGATGTGGCCGGAGCCCTGGTCCAGTGCGGGGACCATTGCCAACGCTCTTTCCCATCCAGTGCCAGGTGAAGCCAGGGCATTCCCGCAATCCCCCATTCCCATTTTGTCCCAGACCCGTTGCTGGGCCATCACCACCTGCTGTGTCGCCAGCCTGTCAGGCTCTGCCATTGCCAGAGTCCCAGATCTACCCGAATTTAGGCACACCTGGTGCTCCCCCATCCCTCCTCGTCCATCCCTCCCCTGTGCGAATCTACCAGCGTCCTTCATGGCTCTGAAAAGCCAGCTTCGGCTCTCAGGACACTTTTTGCACAATCTTTATTACAGTAGGTCCAAAATATTTAACATCGTATTCCTGGCACTGGTGTCTTACTTGCCGCAGGGTTTGTTTTCCCTCGCTGCCCGTCTTTATCTCCAAATCCATCACCCTAAGTCTTATCCTGTTTTTTTTTGCCTTTCCCCAGGCAATGTCAGGGCTTTAAGGACCTGCTGTGGAAGGGACCGGGACGCTGGCCACACTGTTTCTAACCTGCCATGGCATGGCATACCTGGCTCTATGTTGCTGCTGCCCCGACCTGTGTCTCCTGGCATTCCCTAGGTTTTAACCGTGGCTTCTGGCTGTGTTGCAGTCCTGCCAGTCACTGGGGAGAGCTGGAGGAGGGTCCCCCTTCGGCCCCCACTGGCGTGGCTCCTCTCGGTGTCCTCTGGCGAAGGCTGACCCATCACCACCGGCCCCGCACCCTGCCCTGTGGCATCCTGCCTTGTCCTTCGCCAGGGAGAACCGCAGTCAGAATAAACCAGGGGAGAACCCTGTCCTGGGATGCAATAAACTCCCCCCGTGTTCTGCTTTGTCCCATGATCGCGCTTGTCAGTACGGCTCTGCCACAGACCTTGGGGCTGCACTGGGCCGTGTGGGGTTGATAGCCGCGGCTGGCTCTTTAGGAGTGTTTGGCTGAGGCCAGTCACCATTAACTTAAGCAGGAGCAGGTCTCAACTGCTGAAAATCCCATCCACATCTGCTGCAAGGTGGGAACAAGTTGTTAAATGCTTTATATCGGGACAGTAGCAACCCTTCATCAAGCAGAAAGCACCAGGCGTTCAGATTTCTGCCAATGGAGAGGAGGGGGGCTCTGCAAGCACCCCCAGAGTTTCTAAACGCTTCTTCACATTTTCTAAAACTCTTCAGTTTTCTGCCTGAATGTGACAAAAAGATTTGTTGAAGCAGGTTGGAATGTTTTGTCTGGGGGTGCCGGCAAGCATGGTGTGCTGCGGCACCGCCCATTCCCAGTGTCCCTGGGGGATTCGAGGTCTGGTGGCACCTCCTGGCTGTGCTGTGCTCCTCCGGCTGATGGAGACGATGGGGCCAAGCCGGAGGGACCGCCTGGCTTCACAGTGCCAGCAGGGACCTGGGCACCTCTCCTGCATGTGCCCAAGTCCCAACATCTCTCATCACAGCATGAGCAGGTACCGAGAGCACCCCGCACCTGGCAGCCTGGTGGGTTGAGGAGCCTCTCTGTGCTCTGCTAATGATTTTACTGGGGTGCACTGTGCTCATGTACCTGGCTTTGCTGACAAATCCCCTCCCTGGCAGAGCTTTAGCATTTCGCTTCGACTAGCTACAGCTTGCACCCTGCCCAAGTGCTGGCTGCAAATGAGCAAAAGAGTGAAAAGAGCATCAGGGACCAACTAGGTGAGCAAGAAACCAGAGCCCAGCCTTGAGTTTGGCCTGGGGCTGGGGCTGCAGCTGCAGCAGGCACGAAGTTTCCATGGGTTGCAGTGGGTCAGAGGCAGCTGGGGCTCCTTTCCTCCCTGCTTGAGCCCCGGCCATCAGGAGCTGCAGGCAAGATTAAGGAGAAAAAGCAAAGTACAGGTCGTGGGAAGAGGGAAAACAGAAGCAGCTCAGTCAGCCGAAGAGGAAACGGTGGGACACAGATGTCCGTGGAAAGCTGAAGCCACTTACAAAGGATGTGTTTATTCGTATTTCCTTCCACTATGGCTTAATTGCAATGGTTTTTAATGACAGGTAGGACAGGAGCTGGGCTTCTGCCTAAACACTTCTCCATCCTCCATAAAAGTGCTGAATTTAATATTAACAACAATTAATCACAGCTACAGGGAAGCACCCGGCAGCATTCCCCGTCCCCAGGAGCCCTCGGTTCCTATGCTCAACCCCATTAATTCCCATCTCCAGGCAAACAGCACCGGAGAGTTGCCGGGAAGCAAGGGACTTCCCTGTCCTGCTGAATTTAGATTCAGAGTTGAAGCGGTAGTTGTGCCGGCACCCCTGTCTCATCCTGTCCTGTCCCCTCTGACAGCTTTTGCTGTGAATATGGGGTAGTTTCGGACACCCCTTGTCGCTCTCATGGGTAGGAAATAGCTGCTTGCCATCAGCTCACCCACCTGTGTTTCATTTTCAATCCCTGTGTCCCAAAAGGCCACTGGGATAATTCCAGGTCACAGCAGGCTGGCTGAGCTAGGTCAGATCGCAGGTTTGCTGGGACACTGCTGTATTTTTCCTGTTGTTGCTACCACGACTCCCTCTCTCATTAGTAGCACTAATTGCTCATTGCATGTTTTGCATATGTATATTGGTACTTTGGAACAGCTCATTTTTGCATCCTGTAATTAAATGACCACTAATGAACACGTTAGAAAAGCAGCAGCCAACCTGTGCAGGAGTGCTGGGCATATATAGAATAATTGCATGGGAATTCACCATAACATAGCACTGAACTGCCTCCCGTGCTGCACAGGCTCTTGGCCGCGAGAAAGCAGCATGCGAGTACCCTGCAACCCCTCCGGCCTCTCCTCTGCTTCAAGGGACACCCCCAGGTCCTGGCCCACCACCCACCTCCCTCCTACCTCTTCCATTTCCATCCTCTCATCCTACCTCTTCCTTTCCATCCCCCCATTTTGCAGGGGTTATGTTTGCTGGACACCCCACAGAGTGAAAATAACCTTCCCAGGGCTCCGGGCTGCCCTGGCTCCTCTACCTCTTGCCCTGAATGTCACCCAGGCATGCTAAATTAAACAGTGACCTGTTGGGACCAATATCCAGGCTTTTCCCATCTCTCT